CATATGAGATTCTTATTTCCAATAAACCTCCAGAAAACCAGAAACGGCGCTGTGGCTCAAGTGGTAGAACACTAGCCTTGAGCTGAAGAGCTCAGGGACAGAGCCCAGGGACAGAGTTCACGCCCCATGACCAACAAAAAACAAACAAACAAAAAAACACACACACCAAAAAAAACCAAAAACCAAAAAACCTCCAGAAATAATCACTAGAAAGAAATGTACCTTTGCTGTCAATTATTGAAAAACTTCAGTGGCTCCTAGACCACTGAGTTTCAACCAAGCAGAATCCATATAGGGCAAAGAGGATGCCTCTTGGAATATGAAAATTGCTTGTTTGTAATAATCTGTTACATGTAGGATGTCTTATATTTTTAAAAAAATTAAATAGGAAACAAGACTTCAACTTTACTAATTACATATTAGTTTATTCTAAAATGTAAGAAGGCTGCCAGGTGCCAGTAGCTCATACATATAATCCTAGCTATTAAACTGGGCGCCCACGGCTCATGTCTGTAATCCTAGCTACTCAGGAGACTGAGATCTGAGAATCTCGGTTCAAAGCCAGCGGGGGCAGGAAAGTCCGTGAGACTCTAATCTCCAATAAACCACTAGAAAACCGGAAGTGGCACTGTGGTTCAAGCAGTAGAGCACTCACCTTGAGCTGAAGAGCGCAGGGACAGCACCCAAGCCGAGTTCAAGCCCCACGACCAACAACAACAACAACAAAAAACCCCAAAACCCTAGCTATTTAGGAAGCTGAGATCTGAGGATCACAATTCAAAGTCATCCTCGGTATGTAGGAAAGTCCCTGAGACTCTTATCTTCAATACATTACAAAAAAAAAAAAGCTAGAAGTGAAGCTGTGACAGTGGTAGAGTACTACCCTTGAGCAAAAGCTGAAGGGCAGTGCCCAGGCCCTGAGTTCAAGCCTCAGGACTGGCACACACAAACACATACACACAAAAGAATGTAGAAAGCTTGGATTAGAGCTCAGGGGTGGTGGACCACTTGCTTAGCATTTGAGAAACGCTGGGTTTGATCTCCATCAGTCCAACAAATGAATGAATGGATGAATTAACTAATCAATCATATGCAAATTAAAAATATGGTTTTTGTTAGCATTTACAAAATATGAAGTATGGGTAAATGGGGATGTGAATACTCGTCATATTTGCAAGTGAATTATCTTCTTCAGACTGTGTATAAGATATATGATAGATAGGGCTGGGAAGGTGGCTCAGTGGTAGAACGCTTGCCTTGCATGCATGAGGCCCTGGGTTTGATTCCTCAGCACCACATAAGCAAAAAGAAAAAAGCCGGAAGTGGCGCTGTGGCTCAAGTGGTAAGCACTAGCCTTGAGCTGAAGAGCTGAGGGACAGCGCCCAGGCCCAGAGTTCAGGCCCCATGACCGGACCCAAAAAAAAAAAAAAAAAAAGAAAAAAAAGAGATATATGATAGATGAATTAAGTTAAAGTAAGATCATGGATTAAATTTAACAGTCATTTACTGTTTTATTCCTCAATAGTTTTCTTTTGTGACTTTCATGATGTGTGTGTGTGTGTGTTTAAAGTTTTGTTTTTTAAATCGCCCCATTAGTTAGGAAATGGAAAGACTTGGAAAAAATTATATTAAGTGAAGTAAGCCAGGCCCAAAGAAACATAGGTCCTATGGTTTCCCTTATTTGCAATAACTAGTATATGTCTGGAACAAGCAGAAAAGGTCAAAAGCTATGTACATATAACCAGATAAGATTATGTTAAGCGAAATGAACCCCAAGATAGGGACACAAGTGATTTTTTTCTTTCTTGCTATTGTTCCTAACATATTTATAATGTACCATGTGATTTTTTTTGTTTCTTTGTATGTTCCTCCCCCACGGTATAACCCTTGTTTTCACTGTATTTGATGTTGGTGCCCTGCATCTTGTATATACACTTCTCTAGCTTGGGGAGGGGAAGGGAAAAAAACAAAATGCTTAAATAGGGATACAGGTTGACCCATTACAACAATGAGATGTACAAGACACTATGTTGAAAAAACCAACCTTACAATTTAGGTGGGGAAGGGAGGGAGAGGGTAGTGTAGTTGTGGAGGTGGGAGGGAAGGGATGGTAGGGGAAAAATAAAGGAGGAGGTAACAATGCTTGATAGGAAATGTACTCATTACCTTGCTCATGTATCTGTAACCCCCTCTGTACAGTATTTTTACAATAAAAAAGGTATTAAAAAATTGTATTAAGTGAAGTAAGGCAGACCCAAAGAAATATATGGCCCATGGTTTCCCTCATTTTCAGTAATTAGTATACATTTAGGATAATTTTATCAGATGAGTGGAAAAGCTCAAAAGCTCTCTCTCTATATATATAATGTGTATATATATACACATTATATATATATATATATATACACATTATATATAGAGAGAGAGAGACCAAATAATATCATGCTTAAATGAAATGAACCCCAATATATGGACACAAGAGGTCTTTCTTTATTGTTGTTTTTAATGTACTATGTGATTTTTTTTGTTTCCTTTGTGTGTTCTTCCCCTATGGTATACCCCTGTTGGCACTGTACTTGATTTTGGTACTCGACATCTTGTATATACATTTGTCTAATTTGGGGAGGGGAAGGAGAATAATAAAACAGAATGACCCACTGAAACAATGATACCCACAAGACAGTATATTGGAAATGAACTTTAAAACTGGGGGGGGGGGGAGGTGAGGGAGGTGGGGGAGGGGTGGGATAGTGAGAGACCAACAAGGGAGGCGTTAACAATGCTCAACAAGTAATGTACTCATTGCATTACTCTGCACAGCATCTTTACAATAGAAAAAAAAAGAAAAAAAGTTTTGTTTTGTGTGTGTGTGTGTGTGTGTGTGTTTTGCCAATCCTGGGGCTTGTACTCAGGGCCTGGGCACTGTCTCTGAGCTTCTTTTGCTCTAGCCTAGCACTCTTACCACTTTAGCCACAGCACCACTTCTGGCTTTTTCTGTGTATGTGGAACTGAGGACTGGAACCCAGGGCTTCATGCATGCAAGGCAAGCACTCTACCACTAAGCCACATTCCCAGCCCCCATTTAAGGATTTTAATGCTAACTAAATCAAACTTCTAGGTTTACTAGCTTTCTAGGATTGGGAGCAGGAAGCATGATTCATAAAATATATGCCTGTTATTTTTCTATTAAAATTTAAATTTAAATTCATCAATTTACCTTTTTTTCTTTCATTTCATGTTACTGCAAGTACAAGTAAAAGACACATAATTTGGAAATACCTGTTTCTGATTACTTGTCTTTTCTACTGGAAGCTATAATTGACTTTTAAAATAAGAAATTACTAGCCTTGAGACGAAAAAAAAAAAGCTCAAAGCCCTGAGTTCAAGCCCCAGGACAGGAAGGAAGGAAGGAAGTACAGATCATTATCCTGGGCATCAAAGCTAGTATTATCTATCTTTGATCTCTACCGAAATTCAGGAAGATCTGGAGTGGAATTCTAAGTCTACAGCACGATTTAAGACTCAAGGCAGGTGGACAACTGAATCCTAGCTACTCAGGAGGCTGAGATCTGAGGATCGCAGTTCAAAGCCAAACCCGGGCAGAAAAGGCTGTGAGACTTATCTCCAATAAACCACTCAGAAAAACGGAAGCAGCACTGTGGCTCAAGTGGTAGGGTGCTTGCCTAAAGCAGAAGAGCTGAGGGAGAGTGCCCAGGCCCAGAGTTCAAGCCCTCCATAACCGATCAAAAATTTAAAAAAAAGACTCAAGGCTTAGGGAAATAATTATTAGTATGCAGAATATGAACTACATAACCATTTGTATGTTAAATAAGTAGACCTAGACTTTTTCACTCCTTATTTTATTATTTTCAGATCAATACTTTCAAAAGGGTTAAAGAACTAGCCAGCTATGACAGGAAAAGTAACAGGAGAGAAAAAGTACTGCAAAACATCTAGGAAATGAGAACCCAATACATTCCAATTGAATTGACTTTGAAAAGATGTTTCGCACCTCACTGCCCAGACTGTGGGTATCACAATGCAATTCGTCGGTTTACAGCTGTGCTGCGGGAACCATCTGAGGTTCCAGCTATGACTAGTCCATGCAAAACAGGTACAACTCCATGAAGCCGACTGACACCCTCTACCACTTTAATAGTTAGCTTTTACGCTTGACACTCCTCTGCGATTATGAGCTTATCGGCAAACGTTCGTTCATGAGCAAATGGGACCTAGGTTTTCAGCAAAGACTAAAATCTGGAAGGCCACGAGTAAAAATGGGAGCTGAAAGAAACTCACATTACCCCCCCCCCTCCATTCCACTACCCCCTCCCCCACCCGCGCACTGGGGACGGAACTCAGCGCCTCACGCCAGCTAAGCAAATGCTGTAACCTCACTCAGACCGCTAGCTCCTGCGTCGTTTGACCGAGGATTTCCTGGAATACGCTCAACAAATGATTTTTTTTTCTCTTTCTCTCTCCCAACAAAAAGGGGATCACTTCTCCCCCAGCCCCAGCAGGTGATTCCGCCGCCGGTTCCTCCGTGGGTGGGGCCGCGAATGAGAAATCACTAAACCTTTCATCGACGATGGGCGACAAATCGGCCCGAAGGCCCCCCCAACGCTCTGAAATCAAGTCCCCGAAACAGACATCCTTCCTCCTCAACCCTGGGCTGAAGTTTGTGCCGAGCCCCGCCCTCCGCTATCAACCAGAGCTGGAGCCCACCCGGCGCCAGGAGCGCCTGGCTCCCCCCCGCTCTCCCTACAACTCGGAAACACCCAGGTCACCAAGTCACCAGGAGACTCCCATCTTGTCCCTCCAACCCTCCACCCCACGCTCCCAAGAGCATACACCCAACAATTGGGAGGGAGGGCGGTCCCGCTCTTTGATCTCTCGGGAGCCCACTTCCAGGCGGCTGCGCCCAGAAGTTCCAAGCCACGTCTGAACTTGAAGCCGGAGGGAGGGGGGTCTCGCACAGGGACGCCCCGGTGGCTACTTACCGGAACATGGTTGACACCTTGTCCTTTGGAAGCTATCAGGAGAATTTCCCTGAAGTCCATGTTTTGTCGAGGAGAGAGACTGGGCTGGGCTCTCGGGAAGGAGGCTGAGCGTGCCTCGCCGAGAAGCCCCGACGCCCTAAGTGAACTTCCTCCGCAACCCCTCCGCTACCCCTCCAAGACGAGACCACTTCCGGCGCCTGCCAATGCGGTCTGACCGCCCCTCTTCCCTTCAGCTGCCTTGTATCCTCTCAGGGCCGCCCCGCCGACCTCGCGAGTCTTGCGTCACTTCCGCTTTCTGGTTTGAGACACGTAAGACGTGGTACGTGGCTGCTGGCGTAGACTCAAGAGGGCGGGACGAATCTTTTATCCACCAAAGAGAGGCGGCCTTGGCAGGCTGCGGGGGTGGGGCTAAAGGGTGGGATCTTCTTTGGCAGCTTGGGCTCCGGGTTGCTCATCTTGGAGTTCCCTCTGGTTTCTGGTAGGGGAAACGGAGGGGGTCTGGGGTTACTTCTCACAATGAGGTTCTCTAGATGTCATTTTCCAAAGCCACGACGTGTCAACAGTAGAAACGACAGGATTTTTTTAAATTATTAATTTACTTTTTGCCACTGTGGGAGCTTGAACTCAGGGCCTGGGCACTGTCCTTGGGCTTCTTTTGCACCAGGCTAGTAGCCACAGTGCCACTTCCGACCCTTTCTGTTTTTGTGGTACTGAGGAATCGAACCTAGGGCTTCATGCGTGCTAGGAAAGCACACTACCACTAAACCACATTCCCAGCCCGAACCTACAGGTTTTAAGCCCGGGATTTCGGTACCTGTGTCTAGGCTCCCGCGAAGTTGCTCAGGCGCACAGGGATCGGCAGGTCCTCTGTCACTCTGCCACTAATCATGTCCTGGTACAAGCTGTACTAATCATGTACTGATACAAGCTGTGTGTTACGGCACGCGCTTTGGATATAGACGCAAGTGCTGTCTGCTTTTGCCTGGTTTAGATAGTGCCACGTCCAGCATCTACCCTGTGTTTTTGCTCAGGGAATGGCTTGAGAGATTCTTCTCACGTGCGGACTCTGCTGTGCTGATAAACACACATGGCCATGTTCATATTCATTGCGAGTCTCTTCCTGGCTTCCACTTGAGGATTACCTTGAGTTATTGTTAGGCTATTTTGATGATTCGGTGAAAGACACAATTAGGCAAGTTGAATCTGAGGGTGGGATTGACAGTAGGTGGTAGGGCGCACGGCGTGTGTGTGTGTGTGTGTGTGTGTGTGTGTGTGTGTGCTGAATATACCTCCAAATTGAATTATGGGGAATAGTTGCTCCATCAACAGTCCTTGTATAGGTAGAAGCTTAATAGGTGCTTAAAGCTGCATTTGCTAAAAAATCACTCACGACTTTGGATCTACAGATCAACTAAAGTTTCCCAGCCTCTATTTGTTATCTGTTGTCTTTTGCTCAGAAACTTGCCCTTCTTTCCTGCAGTCACTTTACAGCCATCTTGAAAGCCTGGAAGGAGCCTGACAGGACCACCTACCAGGCATTAATAACTCTTACAATAACAGCCCCCCACCCCTACCTCAGATAATGGCTGACCACCTCTGATCATTAGAACACCAGGTCCAGTTGGGTCTGTTTATGCATGCCCTTTGTCCCTTTCCTCCAATTTCTATACTACAACCAGGTTGAAGATGAATTTAATCTCCATTCTCTGGTCTTCACCTTGTCTCTTTAAGTGGGTCTATGGTCAGACTTGACATAGAATCCCAGGAGTATGGGCATTGGGGCCTAAAACTCCATTTCAAATAAAGTTATATGTAAATAAAACTACTGAAAAATATTAAGCAAAGTTCTTGGGCCCTATTCCTTCGATTAATGTTTTAATGCTGAATTGACATTTCTTTGCTTTAGGCGTTGTAAGAAACAGACTAAGAATCCAGGTGCTGGTGGCTCATGCCTGTAATTCTAGCTATTCAGGAGGCTGAGATCTGAGAATCACAGTTCAAAGCCAGCCTGGGCAGGAAAGTCCGTGAGACTCTTATCTCCAATAAACCACTAGAAAACTGGAAGTGGCGCTGTGGCTCAAGTGGTAGAGGGCTGGCCTTGAGCTGAAGAGCGCAAGGACAGTGTCCAAGCCCAGAGTTCAAGCCCCACAAAAAAAAAGAAAGAAAGAAAAAGAAAAAAGAAACAGACTAAGATTAAGCCTTTGGCCTGAGACAGAACTGAAATTCTGAAGTTTGCTATTGCCTCTGGGAAACCCAGAATAGCATACAGCACCCACTGTGGTACATCTCCCATCCACATACATATTCTGCTTATTTTAAATAGTTCACACTTGCTACAGTCCATTCCTACCCATGTTGTACCTTCAAGAATTTTGAAAGCTGGGCATCGGTGGCTCACACCTATAATCATAGCTACTCAGAAGGCTGAGATCTGAGGATCATGGTTCAAAGCCAGCAGGGGCAGGAAAGTCCCTGAGACTCATCTCCAATTAACCACCAGAAAACCGGAAGTGGTGCTGTGGCTCAAGTGGTAGAGCTCTAGTCTTGAGCTGAAGAGCTGAGGGACAGCGCCCAGGCCTAGAGTTCAAGCCCCACGACCAACTGAAAAAAAGAAAAAAAAGAATTTTTAATAATATGGAGGCTTCACCAGACTGTAATATATTAGGTCAAATCTCGGATTCCTCATTAATAAGAAGTGAAATCAAAATCCCTGCACTTTCTGTATATGGCTGTCTCAAAGCGGTAATCCTAGCTACTTAAGAGGCAGAGATCTGAAAAACATGACTTGAATCCAACTCAGGCAGAAAAGCCCACAAGACTATTTCTCCTGTGAATCAGCAAAACACTGGACTGGAGGTGTGGCTCAGGTAGTAGAGAAACAATAATATGTGTGAGAAAAAACAATCAAAAGCGCAAGGCCCAGAGTACAAGCCCTGGTACTAGCACACACACATACACACACCCCTATATTTTCTACTTTCCCCCATGGGTTCTCTATTCAGCAGCTAAATGATCATTCAATAGGTTCTCATTGTATTTAGGATGAAGACCTAAATCCTAATCTTGACCTTGACCATTGCCTGTAAGATCTGGCTTGAAGCTGAGGGGCCGGTAGCTCACGCCTGTAATCCTAGCTACTCAGGAGGCTGAGATCTGAGGATCATGGTTCAAAGCCAGCCCAGGCAGAAAAGTCCGTGAGACTCTTTTTTTTGGTGGAGGGGAGGGGTCCAGTTCTGGGGCCTGAACTCTGGGTCTGGGTGCTGTCCCTCAACTCTTCAGCTCAAGGCTAGCGCTCTACCACTTGAGCCACAGTGCCACTTCCAGCATTTTTTTCTTTTTGCTTACGTGGTGCTGAGGAATCGAACCCAGGGTCTCATGCATGCAAGGCGAGCGCTCTACCACTGAGCCACCTTCCCAGCCCGAGTCTGTGAGACTCTTATCTCCAATAAACCACTAGAAAACTAGAAATGGCACTGTAGCTCAAGCAGTAAAGTGCTCACCTTGAGCTGAAGGACTGAGGGACAGTGCCCAAGCCCAGGAATTCAAGTCCCAGGACCAACAAGAAAGAAAAAAAAAAAAAACTGCCTTGATCCTCTTTAGCATTGTTATTGTAGATCTTTCATTTTCTTTCTTTATTTTTTTTTTATTTTATTTTTGTCGGTTGTGGGGCTTGAACTCTGGGCCTGGGCACTGTCCCTCAGCTCTTCAGCTCAAGGTGAGCGCTCTACCACTTGAGCTACAGCGCCACTTCCGGTTTTCTGGTGGTTTATTGGAGATAGGAGTCTCACGGTCTCTCCTGCCCGGGCTGGCTTTGAACCGCGATCCTCAGATCTCAGCCTCCTGAGTAGCTAGGATTACAGGCGTGAGCCACCAGCGCCCGGCTCTTTATTTTTTTAAATTTTAGTTGCCTCCTCCTTTGTTTCCCCTTCCCATCCCTTCCCATCTACCCTCCCACCCCTGGAGATCTTTCATTTTCTTAAATGACTGAAACTAGATTCAGACAAAAAGCCCTGGTTTGAGAGGTCCCAACTGGACTAGACTTGACCACTTGTCCCTGTACTTCAATGAAAGAGACCAACATTTTAAGGAAACTGAGTCCTAAAAATATCCAAATAAAGAGAGAGCAGAAAGCAAACTCAACAGAGTTTTATATCAAGAATAAAAATCTGAGAGGGATGCCAGTCTTCCAGCCAGACTAGAGAGACAGTGATACACTTACAACTGAGGTCTCCTCTCTTATAGGGGGAGAAGGAGAAGAAAGCTCTTTGTGTGAGCTGGGAGAAATCCTTATCTTATGCCACAGGCTGAGGGTTGTCAGCAGAGGTGTCAACAAAAGATGTGAGTAGAATTTTGTAAGATCTATGGTCTCAGGTATGGGACCTCAGGATGCTCCCATTTGGGGAATTTTTTGGGGGTGGGGGATTATTTGATTTAGAGGAAGGAAGAGAGTTAATCTTTTAGCTGCTTGTTTCAGTAGGATCAGCTTGAAGGCAGTTTATAGCCTATTTCCCATCAAATATTTCTGGGTATTGGTAGCTCATGATCCTAGCTACTCAGGAAGCTGAGATGTGAGTATTAAGATTCAAAGCCATCTCTGGGAGACAATGCTAAGAGACATGTGTCTCCAAATGAGCTATCAAAAAGCTGAAAGTGGAGGTGTTGTTCAAGTGGTAGAGTGAAAAAGCCAAACTGAAGCAAGGCTCAGAATTCAAGCCTCATTGCCAGTTTACATACGCACGCGCGCGCGCGCGCACACACACACACACACACACACACACACACACACACACAAACACACACACCCCAAACCAGCATCGATGAGCTTAAGAAAGGAGGTTTAGTTAACTCCAATTAGAAAGAATTCAGTGCCTAGAATTTGCTTTAGAGATATTGGAAAAAATCTTAAGTAGAGAATGAGTTAGGGGTAAGGATGATGAGAAAGTACGTAGTAATAGTGCTAAGTCATAGATATGTTCCCTAGTCATTGGGTGCTACAGACAGCAGCCACTGATGGTTGGTCAGGGTTGGTCAGATTGGGCCTTATCATAAGTTTTTGGTGTCTTTATGGATTCCAAGATGGTTGTTTGCTTCCTTTAGAGCAGTTTTGCCTTTTGCCACTGGATAATAAGGAAGCAGTTTGCCTTACAAGATGCTTAATATTAAGTCCTGTCCCTCATGGAGATGATTGTAAAGTAACTGCCAGAGAGAATGGCTCAGATCAAAGGCAAAGATGTAAAGGTCAGAGATTGGGTGCCCAGCTTTTCTCT